CAGGGGTAATCTTTCGTCGATCGTTCCTCACTCCCGAAAAAAATACCGCATTTTTTTCGGGAGTGAGGAACAATCGACGAAAGATATACGGTATTTTTACGGTAAATACGGTATTTTTTTCAGGAGTGAGGAACGATAGACGAAAGATTACCCCTGGGTTCCCGAGGATGGGAGGGTTCAACCTGAGGAGGCTTTGTATGTCCCATTATTTTGTTCATGGAACCTTCCTTTTGTTCATTTCTAATTATTCATTTATGTTCCATAATATGTGTTTGTTTTATTTTTTTGTAATGTATTTGATTTTGACTGTCCAATAAATCTGATTAAAACAAATKAAATAGCAGCAACTGATTATGCTTGAAATCTTCCTCCATCTTTTTGGATTATGAAGATGTAGCTCTTCCTTAATTTATTATAGGCTTACCAACCGCCATGTCAACTTGACATGTAMTAACATTCACCAACTCTGGAAATATTGTCTTTTTTGTTCTAGTAATTCCTAGTAATAATAGACCTAATCGACGAATGCGGTGTTGCCACCTAATTCAGATCATATGATGTCARCATCTTGCTCTGCGGAATTGTTCCATTCTTATTCAAATCATACTGCAACCATGCATGTCTGTTATATACGTATATAATATACGTATAATATACGTATATTTTCAAAGAGACAATTCTCCAGAGGAATATATGTTTACATCACATCATCTAAATTGGGACTGGCAACAGCGTTAGCCGATTAGTAGGTCTATTGAAATAATACACCAAATCATAATTTAGTCCCCAATAAATATTTTCAAATTTATTCTGTTTTAAATGAAATTGTTTTGATTTCCTTAATCTCGACAGACAAATGCATTTCATACTGTTGATTGTGTTTTCAAGTCCTTTGCGGATGGTTGTTTCTGGGTGGCTGCATGCACATGCAGCCCTAGAGGTCAACAATTTATCAATTCTCTTCCATTCAAAGTTTCACAGACTTTTAGAGGTTTGTTTTTTAATGAATTTGYACATGGTCTGTTTTATTATTACAAATGACGTCACATTGGAAATATTGTTTCAGATACAAACTGCACCATATGAACCCTTTACACATTCTCACTAATATTACATTTATTGTTTTGCATCAATTATAAAAGTATCCTTTTTCATGTTTTAATTACTAACTTGTTTCTTTCTTCTTTMAAAGAATTTAAAGATCATGTTTCAGTTTGCATTCATGCTCAAGCCACACTAGATTTTCTTGAAAAAATTCAAGCATGTAATGAATTGATCCTCAATTCTACATGACAGTATATATGCCTTTGTGTTTAACTTATGAATAATTATGTATTTTTATTTTTTTGACCAGGTGAACATGACTATGCGGTAAGATGATTATTAATTTGTCCTATAGGTTTTAAAGTGCATCCAACTCCAACCAAGTCCATCCAAAGCAAAATGGTTCACAAATTATTTTCTCTTCTTTCTTGCTTTCTAACCATTCAAACTACTTAAAACTTGCTGTGTATTTCTAGCACAATGCTGTTGACTTCAGCTGCAATTCAGTGACCACAAATTTAAACCATGATTAGAAAAATTGTGGGGAATAGTTTGGGTGGCCTTGGTTGATGTAGATGCACTGTAATTACTTTAACAATGATTCAGTATAATATTAATTCTAAAGGCAGTATCCTAATGATGCCTGGACATTAATTGTTGTTCTAGTTAAACAATATATCAATGTAGTGGTAATTGAAGTGAGCTAAATTGTTAGGATTTATCTATTTAACACGCGAAGACTCCGTGCTGTGTTGCTTTGGAAGTCTTTTAGGAATAATGAAAGACGTCGCGAGGGAAGTGTGCCACTCAGTATTTCCTTCAAATAATCCTAATTCGGAAAGAAAACAAGGTTAAAAGGTTCGCATTGGTTTTACAAGTGTCATTCAGCTGCTACTGAAAACCGTGCATACCGTTAATAAATTGTTCTTGTATATCCTGCGCAAGACCTTGTCATTCTTTATGTCTGCAATCCTATAAAAATGAAAGTTATGTCTATGATTTCTTTTCGAAGCATATGAATGAAATAAGCATTGTGTTTTTATCTAAATATTTCATAGATGACCATTACCATTGTTGGTCAATGTTCGACGCACATCCACAAGCGAATTGTCTTTGTTGTCTGGTAACTGAGGAAAACTCAACACATTTTCTATGGTACCATACCAGACAGAACTGACACTGTACCACTTCCTCGATTACGTCGTCCAGAAATTGACAACAGGGACATTGAAATGCAGCGTTCTTTTCTATATGATGGAATGTGTTAAACTCTGTAACATAAAACGGGTGCGTCAAACAATGTTGCTCCAAGGAATGGACTTTTGACTGAATGAATCAACCAGATACATACTGATCCTACTTTCTGGGCAATGAATAAGAGGCGCGAAGTGATTTATAGCTTTTGCATCATCGGTGAGCTTGCACCATAAGATGTTTACAGCGGGACCTGCAGTTGTCTTCCTGGGTTGGATTGTCTTATTGTAAGATTCGCAGCCGGGCTCCGTGCAGTGCATGGACACAGGTGTTCCAAGGAAATTGGAGGCCATTTGCACTTGAAGTAGTCCTGTGGCAAAATGTTTTACTTAGAAAAATCATGAAATTATCAATTTTTTGCTGTCAAATATTGTTCAAGTCAATTCTTCCTATATCTTGTACATACCTGAATATCTACCCTTAATCGCTGTTGCCATGACTTCCTTTCGAAATACCGTACGAATTCTTTCGATCACTGAGAGGTTTTCAGGGAGAGAAGTCAAGATAGTCTCTGATGCTAACATGTGAATTACAGTTTGGGGATCATCATGGCCCATTATCTGCATATGAAAAATCTACAACATTAAGAACAAAAGCAAATATATTGATTATAATATTTCTAGGTTGAAAGGCACCTGTTCAATGTACTTGGATTCGTTAAGACATCCATCTGCGATTGCCCCAAGCTTGATGATAGCATAAGCGTCTTGTCCATCCTCTGAGCATAGCTCACCCAAAGAATGAAAAAGACAATTACCGTCCCTTCTCACTACTACGGGCTCCACTCCTTCCCTAAGTAGCGAAACCGGCACACCATGGCGAACGCTATAAGGGAGCAAGTGGACAAGTTATCAGGAGTAAAATTAATATATGATTATTGGGGAAAAGGCAAACATTTCCTACCTCATTTCCACTTTTGCTGCTGCAACTTTTTTTAAATGTTTCATTGATATTTCTAAAAAAATGTGCAATATATGCACAACATTGTTGCAATTGTTCCCAGGTGGATGCTTCTTTTACAAGTATGCTCATAGCCTCTTCGCACACCCAGCTGTAGCACAGATTCTTAAATGAAACCGCCAAAGAAATATTAAGATTTCATAGGTAACATTCTGGAAACCAACACGTCAATCTTACTTCTTCAAGCAATTTCTTTAAATTGTCAAAACCAGGGATCTCCTGCCCATCGTCAGGGCTGTTATTACCAAGGGTCTCCTGCCCATCGTCAGGGCTGTCATTACCAGGGGTCTCCTGATCATGGTCAGCAGGGCTGTCATGACCAGGGGTATCCTGCTCATGATCAGGGCTGTCATGACCAAGGGTCTCCTCCTGCGCTTTACTACTGCTCTGGTTCTTAGCATTCGCGGAGTCTTTTATACCTTGAAGTAGCACAGTAACAATCAATAAACGGAAAAGGTTTGAAAACTTCATTCAGAAAAGGTACGTGAAAAAATTGGCTAATAATCATACGTCTATTTTGCAGGTCTTCATAATGGGAAATCACCTCATTCAGTTCCCATAATTTCATCTTTGGCTTCCCATTGTTGGGATCCCTGAATTTAATTTGTGGTGGCCACCATCGAGGAGCACTTTCCAGATCACTCCATTTCGCTCTTTTTATCGCTGCGATGGAACATAAGTTGAAAACAACCGGAATAACATTAGTATATAAAAGTGGATTTTGTGAATAAGTACGCATTTTTAATTAGAAACAATTTTCAGTAACGATTCGATTAATTAAATTTTGAGCGTGAAAGTAATGTTTGTTGTTACATTACTACAAATAGCACCTACTGTTATTTGTAAAGAGTGCNTTACTATAGGTCCAACAGTACTGTAAACTTAAGATAAAAAAGAAATTCAAAAAATCTTAGTTGCGAACTGGGCACGGTAAGTAGTTCTCGTTTGTTAGTGATTTCAGTCCAGTTGGTAACGTGAACAGCAGTACCTTTGCATTGAAATGGGAACGCAAGCCAACGTCCCCTAGATAAACATATTCTGAAAGGATTGCCGCTTGGTTTGAAACCCGTCTTACAACCAAGCTGTACGCGGTCTCCTGTCTTGTACATTGACTTTATGGATTTAATGGACACATAAGCACCAAATGGCAGTACTGGCTGTGTACATGCTGGCACTGAAGTGACAATACGTCAAGAGAAGAAATTAATGCAATAGTCTTCTTCACGGTTCCCTGCGCCATCTTGAAAGGTAGCCGTGCCTTTGCATCGAAGCAAGACGACCGTTGAGCGTGCAATGATAGAAACCTTTCACACCTGCAGACAATTATTCACAGGTATCTATCAGTGCACGCTCAACGGTTGTCTCATTGTACAGTAGCTTACCTTTGGTTGCAACCAAGCCGTACAACGTAACCCAGAGGTAAAATGTGCACCATAACATGACGAAAACCGTGTTGCTTTATAACCAGTCGATACAAAGATCTAAATTGATATGGGTTTTGACGAGGTCTTGAGTTTTAGTTTTAGTCTCAAATTTCATTTCTGTGTGAGCATCATGTCCGTCGTCAAAGCTATTCTCACTTTGAAGCGTGTCAATTGCCATTGGGCTAATCGTTCATTTATAAAAAATGTTCTTATCATCAGACATTTTCTTTACTCAGCAGACAAAGATGAAAATAATTAAGAATAAAACGCACGAAAGTTGAAAGCTGTATGTTTTAACATTAAAATATTAAAATAAACAAACTCGTGTCCCAAATTTTTTCATTTCCGATCGTGCACGCTGAGCCGCAACTCGACCCTTATTTACCTTTCACATTCTTATCCTAKCTAATAGGGTCGCGTTCGTGCAACAGGAAGCCCAAATGTTATAGCTATGACGCACATCTTACTTTTTTGGAGATTCCT